AGAATCCTGACTGTGATCCTTACACTTCTCGCAATAACTGCTTGTGTTCTCAAGGTAAGTTTCACGCTCTTGTAGACAAAGGTTGTGTGTAGCTCCAATGTGAAGTAGAAGTTGTGCTCAAGGCCGTCCAGTGCCACAGCTGTATCCTGGAGTCACTTGCAATCACACTACCAGTATATAATGACTGTAGGACATCCGAGCCTCACACTAAGCACATGGTGGGATGCATTTGCTTGTTTCTCCTGAAGTAAAACATGGACAAATGCCTGTCAGTACAGGAGAAACCACTGAACATGCCCATGTTCTCACCTCTACTGAACAGAACTCAGAATATCTCAAAATGTTATGCTTGATTGGACAAAATCTGCAGCTTTCATACCTTTAATATTACCTAATGCAGCAAGCGGCTTCTAAATGTAAATGCCTTAAACTGTGCTATGTGCTGTCCTTCCAGCCCTTGCCATCCACAGGAAAAAAGGTTGCATTGTCATGCACATAGGTGCCTCTCAAAAATGCACCGCTTTATTTCCCGAAAAGCTCTGAAACAAAGTTCTTGTGGTCAACAGACCTCCCAAACTCTCATGCCCAAAGCGCTTGGGAAGGCTACCAACAAGGATGTCTTAGCAAGGGAGATGACAATGCTTGGAAAAAGCCAAATGCTCAAGTGAGAATACATTACATTGTACTGGTACCACTAACAACATCATCTCTTAACCCCGCGCTATCCTCAGAAGCGAGCCCAAATGCTCGAGGGACTTTCGACATCTATCACTCTTCGTGACCAAAAGGCCCAAAAGGCTTTAATGCTTGACACTGGATCATGCGCCTGTCTCAGTCTTTTGCAGGTCCATCTTGAAGTTCACTCTCCGGTTCACGCCAGGGACGTCGTTGAACCACTGATCAAAGTTTGATTTGTTCGACAACCTAGGCAAGCCCACAGGTCAGCAAATGGGGCTTTGGCACCAAGCTGCCCCTCGAGTTAAAGTAAGCTATTAGGAACAAGTGAACAAGTGCCACGCTAGTAGTAACAAGTGCCTTACTAGTAGTAACAAGAAGCTATTAGGAACAAGTGCATCGCTACTAGTAGCGTCTCTCACCGTGTGTAAGCTCCTTTGAATCGACTCAACAATTGCCATTGAAATGGCCTGTGGCCTGAGCTCCTGTGAAATCCCTTCGATTCACAAATGACAAGTAAATAAAAACAGTGCACCCCTTTGAAACATACAGGTGTTCTCTCACCTAAGCCATGCTGAACCTTGATCGATTTCTGTTTCATACTTGCTGATTGCGTTTGTACGAGCATTGGGCCTACACGTCGGATTGATGCTTCAACCAGTTCTTTCTGCTAGATTCCGTTTTGCGAACTACCCGCAAAGCTGTCGCTGGCACTTCCACATGTTGAGCTTTTGCGATGATCTTTTCGGCTAGAAGACACGTTCACAGCTTATGGAGTCACCCATTGACTAAGTGTTTGCACATGGGTCTCGCACTGCAACTGAACACTCATTCCACCTTCCACTACCAATTCCACAAAACTACACAAACATGTTACAGTACTAGCTGCGTTTTCAACCACTTGCAGGAATCGCATTTCGACACTTCCATGGATTCGATTGAGCATCGACCCAAACCGAGGTTGACTGACTGGACTTTGCGTTTTCGAGCAAACATGCCATGGTGGTGTATTCAGGTCTGGCTTTTGCTTTTACAAGCTCAATGCTTGCCCTTTGCATAAGAAAATCACATCAGTGTTGGGCATTGATCACTTGTTTGATTGATTGATTGAGAAGGTTCGAAGGATGGCGGATGGCATTGATCAATTGTTTATTTGATTGATTGAACACGTTCGAAGGATGGCGTCATTCCCTTAACCAAGCAGCTGAGGTCCCCCCCTTGAAGACTGGCTTCTTGTCGCTACCGAGGATCGATTCCACCAAGCCCTGCGCCAGTGGAAATGTTCATTGGATCGCATGCCTTAAATGCCTTAACCATCCTTACATCCATCACAAGACTGAGCCACATCGTGGACTGAACACCTGTTGAAGCCCAAAGCATAGACTATGCTCCGCTGTCACAATTACCTACGCTTCGGCCTCTTGGTGTCCGTCCATCGACCTCGGTGACGATGAGGTGCTGTATAGTAACTACTACTAGGAGCAAAGGGCATCGCTACTAGGAGCAAGGATGCTACTGGGGTGTCCTGGCCGTACTACTAGGAGCAAGTAGCTACTATGAACAAGAAGCTATAGTATCTATAGTGTAAGATGCCCATCACCCCCAAAAAAATCTTGACGTGACTGACAAAAGGTCCACTATATAAGTGGATGCAATAATGGAATATACAATATTGGAACCACTGCGGTGTTTCTTGGGTGTACTTTTTGACAGCGACCCTTTGACCCCATTGTGGAGAGTTGTTCATCGAACAAGAAGAACCCAAGTGTCTTCAAATACAGTGCCCAAGAAATTGACATCTCCCAATCGCTAATGCATTATGACAACACCTTTGTGTTCTACCCATCGTCAAACCCAAACTCCTTTCATGATGAACATTTGTGATATCGACCCCAAGATTCTATAAAATGAAATCAGCTCAGTAACACGGACGCTACTAGGTGGAGGCCATCGCTACTAGTAACATGAAGTTACTTCGCCGCCCTCTCCGGACTCTCCAAGACGCTGGAAGTCTGGATGGTCGGCCTTGAAGTCTCGGAGCACTGCATCGAAGAAAATGGTGTCCGGCAAACCCTCGTAGTTGATGATCGGCACCATTGACTGCCCAGGTGGAATCCGTCTGTGGTAATAGGAGACGTTTGAGGGAGGGCAGCAAAGCAGGATCTGGCCCCTATCTTGTCCTGTCTGATTGAAAATCGACCAGTATGTGAAGGGAACCCATGGCTTGCATGGCTTGGAGCCCCAACATGATTGTGTGAATTCTAGGGAGGTCACATGTTGGAAACTGTTGAGACGTCATCAGCAGTGGTTGGCACATCCAATTCTTGAAGAATGCTGAAACAAGCTGAATGCAGCAGCTGCTTGCATGGATTCCCACAGAGTGAGTCAATGCATCTGTCAGGATCAGCACGGCTTTCAACTTCAATCCTCTCGACCTGGCAGAACCTTCAAAAACGACCTTTTGCCCTGAGGCCTCCTTGTGGCCAAAAGATATCTTCCGATTCAGTGATCCCTTCCCTGGGCACATGCGAGTTGAGTCTACACATGTCAGAGGGCTTTGTTTCCAAAACCTAATACTTGGCTAAAAACCGTTGTAGGTGTGGCTGCATGTCTGACTGCCTCCAAAGGAAACTCTGACCCAATAATGACCCACTGACATCCAGTGATCACAAAGAGGTCCCCTTACGTTCATTTTGTGATCTTCTAACCTGGAAGCTCTTCAACTGCAAACACTTTTCTTTAAAAACATGTCAAGAAGTGAAGCGACCTTGTTTTCCAGGTTCAATCGGACCAAACCAGCCAGGAATGGTACTTCAACACAAAACTGTTGCACAAAACAGTGAAGCAACCTCCAGCAACTCCCAAGATTCCGTGCTGAAGAAGAACATGTTCTTGCTTCGCACAAGACGTGCAGGCGGGCGAGGCTTCGCTCCTGCGAGAGCCGGTCGCTGACAACCCTTGTGGAGTCACAACCCAAGGTTCGGCATAACAGTCCGACCCGTCCGACCCGAGAGAATATACTGAGCGTGAAAGACCCACATCGGTGTAGATCAAGAAGATGGTGGAACGCGTGTTAGAGTCAAATCGGATTGGATGATTGAAGAATGCAGTCTTGAATTCTGAATTGACAAACACAATGAACAACATCAAACTAGTGCCCCATTAAACAGAATTAAAACCTTAATATATATATATATGGGTATATATATATAACACACTATATCAATTATGACTCATGACACCAAGCGGCATGGTATCTCTTGACCAATGTAAAGTGTGCTCACGACAGGCACGGCATTTGCATGGTCTTTGTCAATACAAAATATGCCTTTGATTGTCTGTTCACGTTTCCCGCCCTTTCCTTTGCTCTGCTTTCCTGCTCCACTATTTTCAAAAGGCTCGTTCCAAAACCAATGGTCCGTAGATCAAATTTCACGATGCAAAAAACAAGTGCCACACACGCACTCCCTTTAGATCGAGGAAAACAAATATCTAAAAAATATAACAGTATAACCTGTCCAATCCCAGAATTTGAGAAAGCTCACGCTCTTCGATTTGCTGTGTTCTTTGCATTGATAGTCCTGCTCAGCTATCCATTCCCTTGTGACCTTTAGCGATGGCATCACTGCAATTGGGTTTCTGGGTCAATTCTACAGTACGGGCTTGTGCAAACCTGGCCCTTTGCTAGGACATCCGAAGCCTCGTCCAGTACAGTATCAAGGAGATGAAGAACCTCAAGGCCAGCGAAGCCAGCTAGGCTTGATGGAAAAAATCAATTGAGCTGTGAAAATAAGTCTTTTCGTGGAGCCAACAGCTGCGAGCACAACTAGCAGAGTCACCTGCACAACCGGTCTAACAAACAACAAACACACTAAAAATGCTCCACTCGGCTGCTGCAAATGATGGCTGGGCACAAAAAGCCAAGAAGCCGAAGCATCTGACCCAAGTGGTCCAACTGAGAATTGAGCCGCAAAAAAGCTGCGAGGCAGGGGCTTGGATGCCACAGTCAACCCGGGGCAACCCACAACACCTGTGATCACCTGTGGGCTTGAAACGAAGACAACCAAGCATAAGAGGAGCCACCTGATGAACACGCGGGGATGCATGTCGGTTCGTCCATTGAGCAATCCTCGTTACAAAGAAGCTCAGAGAAAGCATCGAATTGTCACCATCATGGTCGTGAACATTGCTGATCCACCCATCTTACAAACCACAAACCACAAAGGACATATAGTATGTGTCCTTTAAAAGACTCTGAACATCTCTGAACATCTCTAGCTGAACATATATTATATAAACCCAACGCAAAAGCTCAGCCTCCCCACTGAGACGCATCAGCAGCAAGCTGATATCTCCTGAACACACGGCGGCAGGCCCGTGAGGCCCGTGATTCGATACCGTGAACACATTCACAACTATAGCCGAAACCCAAGCCTCGAACCAGCTGGATAAACGTGTATACCAAGAATCTCCAAATGTGACAGGAGAAGGGTGAACAAAAGCTGGCTACACGGTTCCTGCTGAGCTGGGCGCGATCGGGGAGCTGTCAGGAGACAACTTAGGTTAACAATCGAAATTGATGGCACACAAAATAAGGAGGACGCTACTAGGAACAAAGGGCATCGCTACTAGGAGCAAGGACGCTAGTAGGGGCTCCTGGCCGTACTACTAGGAGCAAGAAACTACTAGGAACAAGGACGCTAGACCACGGGTAGTACCGGGATAGTTCGCATCCTTTACAAAGAGTTCAACAGTTCAAAATGGACGGACAGTTTGAGGCCAGGAGATTGTTAGTGCGAGATGTGATGAGAGGAGACAAAAAGCAAATGATGAGAGCATCGTGGATGTTGAATTGAAAATCGGACTAGAAAAACATGTGCTTGCAAAATAATTCGAAGACTGAAATTGTTTGTGACTCCGGCAAAGGTTTATATAAGCAATTTATCTCTAGCGCCCGGCCCATCTTGCTGATTCTTCATCACTGGTCTTCACCACAGAAGTTCCTATGCTTGCTGAGCGGCTCCTTCAGTCCTGAGAGTTTGAGATATTTTTTTGCTAAATGACCGTGTAAAACCCCGTGGATCATTCATCCTGAAACAATGAATTATGCGACACGTGAAGTTGTTATTCTGTCTTTTCTGTCACACCTGGGTAATTCAAAAGAAAACTGGAAGCGAATGGAGTTCATGTTTCTTGCTTTAGATCCCTTTAGCGTCTTTAGCACTTTCTGGACCAAACTCCCTCCATCGCTTTGGAGAATTCCACTGATCCTCATCCCCCAATTGTTGCCAGGGGAAGGTGGTGGGAAGAAGTTACAAAGAAATCAATATCTACATTGCTGATTTTCAATCACGTTCAGGCAAGATTGTGGGGATGCAATGCAACAACAAGCCAAGCCAAGCTCTGCGACATCATACATGTTATTGCCTTGAGTAAGCGTGCAAATATCTGGACTGATAGTGACTACGCACTCAAACTGACTCATAGGCTCTATATACAGGGGCTGCTCTGAGCAGTTTTTCCAGACATAAACATATTCTTTAGGCTTCATCATATTCGCAGCCATTTGCATGCTTCCCATGCTGGCACTGTTCGAAGGCAGACTTGACTGCCAAGAAGTCGAGACATACTATGAAATACTGACCTGCCTGGTTTTGTAGTTGTAGTCATTGTTCATCACATGCAGAAGCAGCATTTTTGGTACATGAAGCGGGCCTGCAAAGAGTTTGTTTGGGGTTCCCAAGGTGCCCATATTCCAAAGGTGAAGCTAAAGAATCTAAAGAAAAGCCTTAAGTGGACATGGTGATGGATGGTAGAGCGGCTCATGGAGGTGGAACGCATCCCTGCCAGTCTCCTGGTTTGTAGCTCTTCTTCCGGTCATCCCGGCACCAAGCACCTCCACATGTCAGCCAAAGGAATCAAACAATTAAACAAGAAACTTCTTGACATCAACTACCCCATGCTCGACATCGAGTTGCACGGGCATTCCAAGGGTCGCGTCTTTTCATTTCAACGACATTTACCAATGGTATCCAATGGTTCAATGATACAAGCTCTGAGGATTCCCACGTTCTAACGACCCCAATGAACAATTGCAGGAACGCAATGCAATCACCAAGACACACAAACAAAAGCCGAACATTGTACTACCTTTGGAACAAATAATGCCTGTGAGGTTCCCTACTTCAGGTGGAGTATCATGAATGTGCTACTCAACCACGGAATCCCACCAAAATTCCTTGCCTCTTTTGGTTGGCTGTAAAGCCATTGCGTAGAGGGTCGTCGGCCGGTCGCAGCGCAGTTCGTACATGTTCTGCAAAGCGGGAGAGGCGCAAAGGCAGGCAAAAGGCAACGCCTTGCAGTCTTAACTTTGAGGTGTTGACATGCAGAAAACACCGTTATGGTTTTTGGGATTGGTTGCAGTATCTAGCTGTATTCCTAGAGCGAAACCAGGACCTTGTGCGCAATCGTCATGTATGTCCGCGACTTCACTGCAGTCAACCATCCGTTTGAATGTTCAACCAAAAAGGCATGTCTGAAACAGAACGGTCGACACTGGCGCAAAGAAAAGCAAAAAAATATACGAACACAAAAAGACCCTTCTTAAGAGTACGTGAGACCTTTTTCTGAGACCCAGGAACTTTCCTAAAAGTACCTGAAAAATCAATAACATCTTTCCGTTTGCGCCGGTGACATTTTTGGAATCCAAGGCGAGTCTCTGGGACCGCCGGAGAGGACGCATTGAGGAAAGAAAGACAAAGGCACAGGAAGAACCCAATGGGACACCACAGGGAGAAGAGTTCTTTTTGACCGGGCGGTAGGCCGCTAGTAGAGGTGAGCTAGGCAGTAGCCAAGAGCTAGGTAGCTAGTACCTACAAGTAAGCTACTAGGAGCTGGACGCAGGATAGCTCACACTTCTTCCAGGAAGCTCCCCCGCCGCTCTATTCATTTAGATGTTTAGAGAAACTTAATGATAGTTGTGCGTGTGTGTGTGTGTTTGTCTGTCAGTTGTGGTGTTATCGCTTCTCTTTTCTCCTACTACTTTTGGATTATTTAGTTTCTGTTGAACCAATTCAGAACCCTAACCCCATGCATCAAAATATTATCATATAGTGTCGGAGGTATTGCAAACTCACTGTAGGCTGTAACATACAGAATCATATAGACAATCGCCCCTACAGTATTTGTATCCAACAAAACATATTCATGGAGGATTACAGGTTTACCTTTGAAATTACAGACAAGACACGTACATCTTTCAAGTATTGTGTTGAGGCTGAAGATCCTTTCTGTCAACTTCTTTTCGGGAGGTGAGACCCGTCTTGGATATCCTCATATCCATGGAACCAACTTTTGACTTGGACCTTTTTTTGATCTTGCAGTTCCCTCTTTTCACGGCATGGTTCAGACTTTTGATCCATCACCTCTGGATCACCACTTTTCAACTCATGGAGCAGAATGTTTGTCTTTAGAATTTTGACCATCTCTCCAAACCCCGCATTGACCAGCGCTTTGCTCTTAATTTATGCAGTGAGGTATGCATATACATGTGCATGACATTCTGTCAATCCTCGTGGCAGGCAAAGCAAAAGGATGTGAATGCAGGTTGATAGCTGCAACCGATCCCTGGCTGAATGGCATCAGAAAGGATCGGACCACCCAATCCAAAGCAAAGCTGGAAGCGCATCCCTCCATCGCGTTGAAGAGAACTTTGCAGGCTGGTGATGCAAAACCAAAAAAAACACCATCAATGATGCGCCGCTGCGTCCATGCACAAACAGTCTCAGCAAGTGCATCACAATTATGCAGAAACCATTGCAAGTGCATTGAACATTGACCAGCAGCAACCCAAAGGTCACAAATCCACCATTATCCACCACTCAGGACTTTGCGCGCAAGAACGCTGCAAAGAACATTCGTGCAGTCTGGGACATCTTTGAGGCCAACAAATCCGGGAATAGGCCAGGCCTTGCAAGGACGCTACTAGGGGCTCCTGGCATCGCTACTAGGAGCAAGGAAGCTACTAGGAGGAAAGGGCATCGCTACTAGAAACAAGAATTCAATCGAATTAGGAACAAGTGCCACGCTAGTAGTAACAAGTGCATCGCTTCTAGTAACAAGTGCCTTACTAGTAGTAACAAGAAGTTACTAGGAACAAGTGCATCGCCTGACCGACCATGGACGGGGCCATTGACCCTAGGACTCATCGAACATTGACCCTAGGAACTAGGCCGCCAGGCCTTGCAAATCCGGCTCCCTGAACTCTTCGCGCAAAAGGCATTGGAGAAGCTGGCAGCATGCCAGCCACGATGTGCCAAGCCTCAGAAAGCCAAGGGGGATGCGTCAGTTGCACAGAAAACAGGTTTGCAAGCATTTGGGTTGCTTTGATCTTTGAGGAAAAAAATAGTCGATCAAATGGAGGTTTTCTATCATAGTGGGATACAGTGGGTCTGGTCAGTTTGGAGCTGAATCAGTCATAGTTGTGGTTGTCTGTGGCAATAGTATGGAATAGCAGTAATGACTTAGATGGCGACACAACCACCCTCGGACTTGGTCAAACAAGCCATAAATTTCCTGGACCACCATCATGCGCTGCACTGATTATCCAATACTCAGCTTTGAAGAGCACCTCAAGGGAATACGAGGAATTGCAGTTGGCATGTCTGGGGAGCGGGCACACATCCACTACCTGGGGGGTTCATGCACCATCATGCACCAAGTGCTTCGACAGAACAGGGATAACGCCGGCCATCCAGCTGTGAATTCTGGCATGTCGTAAGCCCACAACATCCCTAGTGAAAAAGGAATGAGCGAAACAAATCAGAATGGTCCTGGTGCGAGCCTGAAAGGCCATAAGGAAATGCATGTAGTCCATCCAAAAGGTGCCATCGTCCACCTGATGCACTGCCAACTTTGTGCAGGAAACGTGGCGAATGTAGACTATTAGATACTATTAGATTCTGGATCATGCAGTTCTCGAGCGCATCTGCTGGCGAGTTCATGTCTGGCCAAGCCCAAGACACCAGTGCATCCCAATTCACCTTGGATGCATCAAGTCCAGCTGCTTGAGCGAAAACCCAGCCAACTTGCAACAGCCCTAACGTGAAATGGAACACCCGCCCCAGTGGGCAAATGTTGAGCTTACTCTGTCGACCTACTGTTGCTCAATTTTTTCATGCCGCTCTTTTTGCTCTCGTGGGTTCTGGAAAAGAGGGTCAAAGGAATCTACTGCAAACGTATGCAGAAATGGTGACATGGTAAGCAACTTGCTGCCAGGCAGCTGGAAAGGCTTTCAGTCCACTCGGCAGACTTGTCACCTGGGATGCCAGTGAAGCCAACACTACAGTCCAGCACCTTGCAAACATTGATCAACAGACGCTCCTTGAAGCCATTTCACATCTTCTATAAGTCCATCCTCCCTCATCTTCCCCTTTGAGATTCGGCATGAGAGACAACATCATTGGGTAGAGTGCAACAAGCGAGCTCGGTTCCGGGCTCCACTCTCCATTCCACTCACCTCTGCTGTAGACCCCTGGATAGACCGACATGAATATATACATATATATATATACATAATATAGACGGCGTGTTACATTTGTCTGAGGTTGGAGGCCATCGCTACTAGGATGGAGCCAGCTCTTTAGAACAATAACACTGAAGATGGCAGGAGCAAAGCATGAATTCCTTAAAAGGGATGTTGGAAAATACGGAGGCTTCTTATTTCGAGGCAAGTCAACAAGTCAATGTTGATTGAACATCATAGAATCATAGAATCGCACAATCACTTGATTCTCAACGAGAACCAGCAGGTGTGGTCCTGAACATGCAACAGTAGGTCAAACAAACAAACAAACAAACAACAGTAATACTTACGTTGATTATTGACCCGACCCTATCGTTTTGAAGGCTTGCGCTGATTATTGGAATTAGCACTCCCAACATGAAGGCCTATAGCTGCGCACCCACAGTGACTACTTCTTCTTTTTACTGACTGGCAGAGTCCCACATGTGGACCTCTGGTCTTGTGGGCCTAAACATGCTCAAAGATGGATCAGAATGGTATCGTTTGGGGTATCGTTTTGCGATGCTGGAAATTTCGGACCCTGAAGATCGGGGCCCAGCCGTCTGATTCCAATGATTCCGCTGGATACTTTGCTGGCTGGCTGATTCCGCCAAGTACTCGGAAGGCAGGGTCAATAAAGATTCTGCTCAAACCCTGCCGTTTTGAGGCAACAAAAACAGAAAGGCAACTTTGAAAAGGAGTGCAAAGGATATAGCTTTCTCAAAGCATCTATATATCAGAACTAATCATGTATATAACTAATCACCATCAGGTATCGTTTTTTGTTCCCGACCCTATCGTTCTTGAGGTTATCCTTACTACCAAGACTAGCAAGTTCAAAATGACGTCCAGCCTCCTTTAAGCTACACAAAGACAGGTTTTGATAGGCACTCATATATAATATAGCAGCATACCATATTGTCACGCAAATCTAGTTACTAGTCAGGGTGGTTTCCAACCGGTGCCAGGGCCACGACCCACTCCATGTGGGTTCCTGATCCTCAGGAGGCGTACCATGCCATCCTGCCGCAGTGCCGCAGGGTGATCTGCTTCAGCAGAATTGGTTCAGTTCAGAGTTTATTGTGCAAGCTTCTGTGGAAAGTCACCATTTTATGTCTGCACTTTCACTCCTGCAATCGCAGGAGTTGTAAAGGAAACAAGAAACACACCCGGGTCTGGAAGAAGGCATCACATGAGATAGAAATAGATGGAGGACATCTCAGTCAGGTAGTGTAGGAGTTTGCCCATCAAGAATGGAGCTGAATTGCTGTCTATTGTTGGTCAAAAGGGTGTGATCCGTTTCAATGTATAGCAATTCTTCTACATGGTATATGTTTCCATAGTATGGGATTGCATTTGATATCTGGCTGCTTCCCATATTGATCAAACGATGCTTCTTTGTTTGGCCTCCCAGCATAGACAATCCGAGCAAGCGGCTCACAGCAGCTCACAGCCCCTTGTTTATGCCATGCTGCATCATACATATCCAATAAACTCTATAACACACATAAAACACATTAAAGAACTGTTGCAGCGCTATAGTTATATGTAATACTATGGAAAAGTTATATACAGCGAACATGCCAACATACCAAACATATTTGGCTGCCAAACATTACAGCTCGCCTGTTGCGCTCCGCCATAGCCCACCTCCTGCATGGGCCAGTGCATCAGCTATGCTTCCAAAGACTAACCCGACTCAGGAACTAACCGCCCAATGAGGACAAGAGTTTGCCGTTCTCGAATCTAGCTGCTCAAGCGTGGCTTATATATATATATATCGCCCCAAATGAATGCATTCATGTTCGAAGCATTGCCACCCATGATCCAGGCTACAGATTCTTGAATAGCAAGCGTCAATAAAGTTAGAAAACCCAAGATAACAAATTGGTTGCAACTGTGACACTGAGAGCGCTCCCTGCCCATAAAGCGTGGATCGAAGATTTCCCTCACATCCAGCACGCTGTAGGCATGGTTTCCACAAAGACCCACCTGGACAAATCTCCCAAAAAGACCCGTTGCTTACAGCAGGAACACAATGAAGCTCAAACATGCGTAGACCAGCAACCTTTTGGCCGTTCTTGTGTGCACTGGCTTTGATAAACACGAAACCTTGGTTGAGGCCTAGTCAATATGTGTCCACTGTATGCCTAGTGACTAGTGGTGGACAAAGCACGATACACGCAGGTTTGGAAGCACGTGGGCTGAGCGTCTGCAAAGATTTCATTCATGTCATGTAACTTGGACATCACCCCATAGAACATGACTTGCTGAGTCTGTATTGCAACAGGGATGGCCACTGTCACGGCAAACTCAATAACTTTTGGTTTCATCAAGCGAGAGCCCAGTTGAAATGGGCTCTGTAAGATATGTGATGTGACTTTATCCTTAATCGTAGCAAACAGTTCATGTCGAATCCTTTGAGGTCAAACTTTGGAGCCCACCCCTCCACAACCTCTTACGTGAGACTGTGAGATGGTGGAGTCTTGAGCCCAATTCTTCCCTCAAGTTCTGTATATATTTACATACAAATATCTAAAAAGCATTAAACAGCTATTGAAAGAACACTCTCTGGCATTTTCCCTAAACATCTAGGAACCAAATGAATAGTGCGAGTGCTTCTTCAATTCAAGGAAGCTCCCCCCCGCCGCCTTTAGGGCGACGAGGGGAGCTTCCTTGAAGAAGCGAGAGCTATCCTGCGTCCAGTAGGTAGTGGCTTTCTTGTAGGTACTAGCGACTCCCTCCCTTCCTCTAGCTACCTACCTAGCTAACCTACCTCTACTAGCGGCCTACCCGGGCCTACCCCGCCATTAAAAATAAAAACATGTAGAGGTAGACCTCGACCTCCTTGGTTTGTGTATATAGTTCGTTTTCCAGGTCCCGCCTCGCGGAGCTCAGGGTTCCCTGCGGTGGCACAGCCCATGGGGAAGTCGGCGGCCTCTGACTGCTTTTCAACTTCTTGTTTCCATATGCTTTACCAAGACAATGAGTGTATATATATATATATATATTGTGTTTTGGTTCTCTCTTAAGGGGCGGAGGCCGCAAGTAGAGGTATGAGGTAGGTAGGTTAGCTAAAGGTAGGTAGCTAGTAGAAGCTAGGGAGTCGCTAGTACCTACAAGTAAGCTACTGCCTACTGGACGCAGGATAGCTCATGCTGGCACTATTCATTTGGTTCCTAGATGTTTAGGGGAACTTAACTCTAAAATTGCATTATGAAATGGTCGTATACAATCTGGTGGCGCAGGTCCTGGTAAGTCAAGTAGAGATGTCCAACATCCAAGACGAGCCCTAGGCATGCAAGAAGAAGAGTTTGGGCGATGCCCACAAAGAAGACCTTGCGATGACGAAGTGGGATCAAGAAGTCATAACTTCCCGGTAGCTCCCTTTGAGTCATTTCTAGTTCGTTTGACATTATTTGACATCCTCCTCCCAACAAAGCCAACTGTTCTTTTTGGATCTTTTTAGTTTGCCTACCGATTGTCCCCGAGTTCTGCAGATTCAGGTTGAGTGCCAGAAGGTTCAGCGGCCTTAAACTCCAGCAGCCTCCGCCATAGCTCCTGAGGGTCAAAGCCAGGCCTGTGCACCACCAGAATCAGCACGACCCTCTCCCTACCGACGCCCATAGGCATGTTCGAGCAACTGTATTGCATAAACCAGCTGACGTGCACGAGACACAGTCTGTCTGAGGCAAATGCTCGTCGAAATCAATGCTTTCGGTTGGGCAGCCGGTGAGATCCAAAAGGGCCTGAAAGGGGCGTGGGACACAAAGACCTAGTCCATGTCCACGTTGACTCTCGCTGACTGTCATATCTCAGCCTGGTTACTTCTGATCAGCACATTCAGGATGACAATGGATGGGAACAGTCAAATCATTGTTGTTCTTGGTTTGTCTTCGTTCGGCACTGCAAGGGTCTGAACACACGCCCTGCAAGTGTCTCAAGAATGCGGTAAGTGTGCGAAATGATCAGTAAATAGGCCCGGATGAGGGAAACAAAATAGTGGGGATGCTTCGATGAGTTGTTGTTGTACGCCCACTGTGATGTGACCAAACAAACACCACCTCTGACGAACGTGTGATCATGTGTGATCCGTCTGCTTGTCAGCCTCAATGGGCGCCATGTCTGCAAGAATCCAGATCATGCAAGGTATCAAAAGAACAAGGATCCCAACGCCTCTGCAATCTCTCCTCCACTGATGGCACGGTATGAGCCGTGTGCCTGATGGAGCAATAAGCACATCTACGTCGAAAACGTGTGCCATGTTTGTCATGGTAAGGATGGCTGGTGCTATTTCACAGGCACATATATATATATATATATATACAAGTCAGGCGACTAGTGGCATGGTGGTTTAGCACTTGTCGTAGTCATACTAGGTTCATCAGCCTGGCGTAATATTGACAAGAAAGTCACACCGTAGCAGCAACTATCAAAACACAATTGATATCTACAAATAGTATTAATAGCAGCCAACAAATTGTTATATTATGTTATATTTTATATACATGTATGACATGTATTAATACATAAGCGTTTTAAACCTATTTTTCACGACCGAGCTTGGTTCACCCTGAACTTCTGGCCTTGGCATAAGCTTTTTCAAGCAATGGTACCCACAGCTGCTGGCCATCTGCACCTCATGAAATATGCTGAAAGCTGAAATGGGTCAAACATTTGAGCGGGGATGCAAGTTTATATCTTCGTCTTCATCTGTTTGGTGCACCTTTAGCACAATCAGAAAAAAAAAAACTGTTCTGATATATATATATATAACCCTCTGCTACAGCTACAGTCCATATAAAAAGCCTTATTGCAAGTTGAATCAGCAAGCCGTTGTCATCTCAGGGTCATTATCGCAGGCCACCGCCAATCATTCCTCCTTGTTTGTGCCCTCATGCAGCACATCTCGAACGTTGCGAAACTGTTCTAAGAATCCGTGCGCCTAATTTGAATTGAGAGCAAGAATGAAACAGGCACTTTGCGACTTTGCCTGCTTGGCCTCTGTACTGACAAAACCAGTTTGGAAGGCTCCCAGTGACTTTCATGATGCCATGACTAGACATGTGCTGGTCATGTGAAGAAAGGCCCGGAGAGGAAGTTCAAAGGATTTGCTTCCTCCTGGACGGGCGGTGCTGTCAGTTATTGACCTTGCGAATCTGCGAGGTGGCTATGTCGTGCTTACCTTACAGGATTTCCCGCAAATAAACACACTCTTACATCGGCCCTTTCAAGCTACTAGGGGCTCCTGGCCTCACTACTAGTAACAAGAAGCTACTTACATCGGCCATTTCACCAAGTGGCCGCGGCTTTTGGGCGAAACCAGTTGCTGAAAAACACATTCTTTGGGTATTCATCTTCAAACGTCTATGCAAAAGCACATGCCATTCCACAGCCTCAGTCTCCCATGGCTAGACAAAAACTATGTTTTCAGGGAACGTTCAGCTGCGCAGCCTAAAGTCAAACATGTTCAACCAACTAGTGCACGTTTTGAGAAGGCCTCAGGTCAAACCTGACTTTTGGCCTCTTGGGGCCAGTCCCTTCAAGTCAATTAGATTCAAACGCTTCACCTGAGCACGGCAAAAACCTGTGCAACTGTCCTGAACCGCACATACACAGGGATCAATGTCTGCGTACCAGTCATGATCTCCCTCAGCGAAGGCCATTGTAATGCCATGCAGCTGAGAACTCTCAGGCTGCTAAGTGATTTGGTCTTACACCAGCTGCAACAAACATCTATAAGTCAAGCCTAACGTTGTTAGATATTATTGTTTGATTGCCTATAAGCTGCTCCAAAACAAATGATTATGTATATTGGGAGGCTTTTCGCTTCTGATCAAATGCATCCTGCAACAAGTGCAGTGCGTTCGCACAACAGCAACTGTCTGATTCTGGCATAGTCACGCCTTGGCATTGAACAACTGTTGCTTGACAAGAAGCTCCAGTCAGCTGCCAGGGCCACCATTGGCTTGAACACTTTAGATCCTGCAATGTTCCAGGGCATTTGTTTTGATTTCGGAATGAAGGCTTCTTGAACACCAGTCTGCATGCTTTCCTAGGCCATTCACGGCCTGCCTGGGCGAAAGCAGTTCAAGCTTGGTTTGGTTTAGCAAGTATCCCGGAATCACAGTCATCGCTTGATCCAGTTCCTGGGATGTGGACCGCTCAAGACGTTGATGGAGGCTCTACCCTGACCACAGGACCCAAGCTCCTCGAGACCACATTCGACATACTTCGCACCAACTCGCTGAGGGTAGTAGATTTCCTACAAATGCCAAATCTCACAAAATGGATGTTTGTCACCGACGCGGATGTGGCTGCCAATGAAACCTGTGATCATCTGCTTTCCTGCAACCTGATAACATGTTGGATTTGAACATAAAGGTTACGACATCTCCATGAAAACTCTAAACAAGTAGACTAAGTAAATACAGGAAAGGAGTTGAGGTTGTGGAAATGCATCTATGATGTTCATGCAGGATTCCCATCTTTGACCCGAGCACATGCAAATGCTTGCAATCAAGATTCTGGCAAGGCATGTTCATACCCAAACAAGCCTCCTGGTTTGCGCTCGGCAAAGCTGTCTTTAGCGGAATGAGGTCCTAAGACCTCAACATTTTGCAATTTATCTTAATGGCTAGGTAGAAGGTGTAGCATTTATTGCACTCACAACATATGAAGTACACTCGCAAAGGAATCAACACCTGCCAACGGTGAAGGCTGAAACCTGTAATCCTTCTCGCACAATTTTGCTGAACAAATGATGATAATGATGTTCCCAACGGCTCCAACAGCTGTTCCAGCGGTCTAAATTGTAAACTGTTTCAGGTTTCACTTATTCCAATAGCATTGAGGCTGCATTATTTTACCTGCATTATCTTGGAGCGATCTGGTATGTCTCAAAGGTCATGTGCAAATAACAAGTCACCATCCATAAGCTGGGCCCTAAGTGTGACAAACCAACCCACTTTACCCTGAAGAGGCACATTGATCTGTAGGAAAAAGACTTGGGCATGCCTTCTTGCCTGCCAAGTCATCACACAGGTCAAGTCCCAAGCCCAGCATGTCCTGGAGGTGGCAAATGAGGCACGATGTCCTGGCACAACAAATTACACGGCATAGGCCCAGATAGCTAGGCAGAATCCCGCGACCTGTTGACACGCGACTGGCTGGAACAAGAATGTATGCAGCCTGCACAGCCAGCTTACGGGACCTCCACAGCGCGCACAACCTGCTGACACCAGCACCGGCGCGCTTTGCCAGCTGACAACACCGGCAGTGGCACACCGCCGCCGCCCGTCTTAAACGCGCGCTCAGCCAACGGATATACCATAATTATCATAGTGTTCTGATTGCTGACTCCCTCAGATTCCCTGGAAGTAGCGGCACCCTCTCTGCAACGCGCCAAGCGCGCACAGCCAGCGCCCTGCACCGGCACCCTGTCTCCACCACCCGCACAGCCAGCTCACAATACACCAGCACCCGGCACCGGCACCCTGCCTCCACCACACGCACGGCCAGCTCACAACACCGGCACCGGCACCCTGCCTCCACCACGCGCACAGCCAGCTCACAACACCAGCGCCAGCACCGTCACCCGGCAGCCAGCACCCAGCACCGGCACCGGCACTCTGTTCACAGCACGAGCACCAGCACCGGCACCCGGCACCCAGCACCGGCACCCTGTCTCCACCACGTGCACAGCCAGCTCACAGCACCAGCACCAGCACCGGCAACCTGTCTCGAAAACGCGCACAGGCAGCTCATTGTTATTTGAAGTAAGAACCCCATAGCTTCGCTATCCCAGAACGATATGGAGCTATTTTTGCCAAGGCAAGCGGTAGTAAGAGATGAACTGACTCACGACAAAGGTGCGCGCCGCGGTAAACCAGTCTGAATTGGCAAATTGTCCGAATTTTCCGAATTCAGCCATACGGACTACTGTAAGCGACTTAACCAATGTCCTTGTTTCTTAAATCTCCTGTCAAACAATCGGGTCTTTACAAATCTCTGGACAGGTTCTAATGTTTCCGCTGAACATAATCATGTTCTATCCGCCCCGTTGAACATCAACTGGTGGGCGATCCCAATCTGCCAGTCCTGGTAGTGTACAACTCTCCAAGCATCCGTCTTCCCCAGTAGCTTTCCCAATGCTTCAGCAAACTTGCCATTGCCTGCAAACAAAGTGATTGTGGACCAGTGGAGAGACAGTTACTTGCTCTCGGTGTAGTTCTACCCACCAAGTTGCTCCCATATAGTTCAATATTGCATCTAATCGTAGCTAGCTTCTCCATCTTCTGCCTTGCTTGAACGTCATGTCAAACATCCTATCTATCGGTTCGTTAAATGGTGCACACCCAAACCAAAGTGTTCGTCGACTCTGCCAGTCCGATGCTCATTAGGTCTTAGTCTTGCTATACTGGCCACTGTTGCCTATGATTTCTTGCATATTCCTTCGGTCCTCTTCTACTTGAGCATGACCTTTCCTTTTGTGCGATATATATATATACATATCTATGGTACCCCCCCCTCCAATACACACCCAAAGTGTGTTTTATACTGTAAATGATACTGTAAATTACATTGCTTTAGTGATATTTGGGGCTCATTTTGTTGAGTGATATTTTGAGACCTTTATCCACATGATTGTTCGGAATACTTGGCATAAGGGGGTACCATATACATATATTATAACTATATTATATATATATATGAATGAGTGTAGAAAGAAATAAGAACAGTAAGACTGCAGTACTTCAAGGATTGAGGATGGAGAAATAGTAAGACTCCAATACTTAGAGGATTGGGGCGTGAGAGAGGTACGAAGAGGTCTTCGTACCTCTGTCACGCCCAAACTGTCCAAGTCAGTGCAATTGTCAGACTTTCCGTGTCAGCTCAAACTATGTTCCTGAAGTTAAACTTAAAATACACCATAGCTCTAACAGTTATGTTATAAACATCATTTGAATTATGCTTTATTTTTTGATGCTAGGAATAGAGATTTAAAGTTAAAGGATTGTTGGCCGGCAATTTAGGTATTAGGTATATATGTGTCAAAGCAAACAATGAATGGAAGGTAAAAATAACTACAGTACCTGTTCTGCTTGTAATTGTTCTTTGAGCCAAGGGCACCATCAGGTGCATCTCAAATCAATCAAACATAACAGAATTTTGAGCACAATCTAGCTTTTAATGTTTCATGATATGGTTCTTGTGAAACTATATCATAAATCTTTCAATAAGACGTTTTGGCGATGAGTTGTGGGGCTGCTATACTTTATTTGGTGAACACTTTTGAAATGCTTGACTGTGATAAGTGATATGAAGAAACATACCACAGATCCTATTACATGTTTGTTCACCCCTTCAGGGTCAACAAGGTCAAAAACGTTTGAGATTTCAGGTATTCGAGACCACATACCCTAATAGAGGTGCTGACCCGATGATGGATTATGGTTGACAGGATTCTGTGTAAACCATAAGAGTTTGAACCACGAGCGCAAAGAGAGCTTTGCATATTGGCCCAAGTTTGATGAGAGATCAGAGCCATGCCAATTGGGAGCTTGCATTTCAGCATGGAGGAGGAATGGGCAATGTGGTGAGGGTGGGTGCCTATACTGGATGGTTTAATTGGGATGATGGTTTGGAAAAGGGCGGGGATGGCAGGATGAAAGAGATGGAAGGCACGATGGAGGCGAAAGGCTTGATAAATAGGTGGAGGTGCCCCCACTAGCAGAGGGGGGGCCTGTGTGAGGGACGCCCTTTGTGAGCTTGAAAACCTTAAGATTTTGATATAATTTTACAACAAATTAAAGAGGAAATTTGATAGAGAGTTTGTAGTGCTTGTGGACAAATGTTGCTTGGGGGAACGTTGCAAGTTGGTGATCAGAATGGTTGGTAGCATGAGCCTTCAGGAGAAGCAATCAGAAGGTTGGGTGAGCAAATTGAGGCAGCTGAGGGATGGTGGTGAGAAGGATCAAGATGAGATCATGAAGACACCAGCATCCCAAAAAAAAGATGAAATAACCAGCACCAGCTGGAAAGATTCCATGCAAATGGCATGTGAAAAGGGTGGGGCAGAAGATCAGCTTCAGTATGGATCAGCTTCGCTATACAGTAGTAGGAAGATCTTGGATACTACTGTAACTGCAAAGAAAGTAATTCAGCAACATAATGTAATTGTTTTTCAATAAACCATACCATATATACAATTTTCTGGTGGCAAATGGGCTTGACCAATAGGGGAAGCTTGTCTGCCCAAAGCACAAATTATTCGAGGGAGGCCACTGTGGAAGGGGGTCGAAAGGGCGTGATATGGCTTGATTAATTGCGTAAGGTTACTTGATCCTATGTTAACATGTTGTCTGTCATTCTCAACGCAAAAGGTGTGTATTGGTGGGGGGTAGCATCATATATATATATATTCATTGTTTATCTATCCTCTTGATGGACCCTCTACCAACTTAGTTGGGATGTCGTTAAGAACGCAGCATCATCAATTTGCAAGTGGTCTTCTGTTCGAGGCCAAGCCCACAAGATTCCTGGACATTGTTTGTCGGATCAAGGTTGTTTTGGATGTTCCTTCTGCTTGATTGTCTTTGTATTTGACCTAAAACAGCAGCAGCCGTCACCATCATCAGAAGCTGTCCTTGAAGGCGTTTAATCCGGGGTATTAATCTCTCAACGCATCATTGGAGCGGCAGCTCACTCATCGACTGGCGAATGTGGGACATCCAAGTCTTCCAGCTTCACCAACTTGGTCATGCCCCTCTCAACAAGGCCTGGTCTTGGCGACTCCAGGGCATACATGTGCTGAACCGTGAAGGCCTTCATCAATGCCTTGCAGGATTAGGATTCAAGTACAAGTACAGATTTTGCCTAAAGACTGGCTCGCCTTGAGCTTGCGTATCGGTTTGGGGATGTCATGATCCATACAATTGCGAATTTGCAAGTGAAACTGAGCCCAGGAGCACTAAGAAATCAATCATGCACAGCTGCCTACATATATGCAACTAGCAACAAGAAGCTACTAGGGGCTCCTGGCGTTACTAGGAGCATTTTATGTTGCTAGCTCCCTTTCTCAGCATTGGGCCATGGGTCTTGCCATTGCTTGAGGTATTGTTCATGGCTCGCATCATATCTATTGTAGTCAAATAGCATCAACTAGTCCTAATTATACTGTAATATTAAATGGATCTGGTCCTATACAGTAAGAGATGGGGCATCTATTTTAGGTCTTCCTCTTGGCTGTCAATGTTGTCTCACCAGCTACAAACCACCTTCGAGAGCAGCTGTCTCTGCAGAGACATGGTTAGAAGTTGGATCATGTTGGATGGATATCAATTGTCAAACAAAGGTGAGAATCGTCCCAATAAGGATCCAACTTTATCTGTTGCAAAAAACCACACATGCGCCTAACCTTAGCAAGGAGTGCTCGGCAGCCCCTCACAACTTGAGAGGCTTGAAGAGCAAGTTGACAAAACATGTAGGCAAAATCAAGGGTGTGCGGAGAAGGGGGGTCAGCAACAATTGCATATACAAAGTTAGCGCATCAAAAAGACCTTCCGCCATGTTCTGCAAAGGCTTATGGGTTTTTGTTACGGTTAGTTTTCCTGCTGGCCCACCGTATTTATGTCCACGAATAGCCTCGAGTTCCACGAATGTTCCGGGCCTTCCACGAAGTTAGTAGAATATGTTTGCAAAACCCTTTCTGTGCACTACCCTTCCGTTTGCCTCTGAAAACACATTAAAACACTATATATATATATAAACACATCCTTGTTTGACTGCAACCTTCACTATTTCTGCCATTGCATCAGCTTCAGTTGGCTTGTTTGCCTACGTTGGCAAAAGCCAAATGATCAAAAGAGTCTTGGAATCGCTTGGAAGACAAGCCGCGTCAAAGAGAAGGTAGGTCAGTGATGCCGCACCCTGGGAATGTCCAACCAGATACAGCGGACGCTGATGACAACCAAAGTCAGCCAGTGCCCGGAAAATCTTGTCCCTCACAGAGAGGTAGGCCTGCAGTGCAACCAACCAATATGAACATGTATCTGTCCAGTCGCAGCTCCAATGGAAGAACTTTGATTTTTAAAAGTCGCAGCGCGTGGGTCGAGGTTGGGAAGGTCTCCGCACAGTCGAGAGAATGAAGACATTAGAAAAAGGTCTCTTTGAAGGTAGAAGTATGTAGAAGCCTAAAGCAGGCAAGAGGCGAGGTAGAAGCCTGAGTCCACTTGACAGGATGGACAAACTGCATGTTCAAAGTCCATCGGCCAAAAGACCGCGTCCAACAACGAGCTGATGACCCCGAAGGTGCCGCGCATGGCCACCTGACGGGCAGGCTGGGCCGGCCGGGACATGGAGGGATAAAGAATTCTCATACGATAAAAGTATATTAGTAGCTTCTTGCAGCTTCTTGTTACTAGTAGCTATTTGCTACTAGTAGTAATGCCCCTGTTACTAGTAGCGATGCCCTTTGCTACTGATGCCCTTTGCTACTAGTAGCTTCTTGTTACTAGTGGTAATGCCAGGAGCTACTAGTAGCGTCCTTGCTCCTAGTAGAAATACTAGTAGCAAGAAGGCCAACAAATTTCAGCACACATTTGTCTCACAATCTCAAGAGTTTCATAATCTCAAGAGTCTTGGACCTTGGAGGTTTGTCAACTGAGGCTCCTCAAAGGCCTATAAGTGAATCACTCTTGCCAAACAAGCCACAAAGCAACCATCTGGCTCCAGCATGCGGCCGACTCCAGCTGCTGCCTGCTCTGAACCTTAGGTCATGGCTGACCCATGACTGACCGACTCAAAATGACTTGGCAAGGCTGCAAGGTGTCTGCCATACACTGGGTATGAGCAAGGGGTGAGACCTGAGTATGGGGCACTCTGGTAGTTCTGCCCAAGACCCTCAATGAACAAGCTTTCAAATTAGCTCCAAATGGTTCAATGATTTGAGGAAAAACATGTTCAAACCATACCGTTTTAAAGAACAACAGCAACACCTCTTATATAACTTGTGAATGTTAATTGCAGGGCTGTAATAGCCATGGCTGAGATTTTGGGGAGGGTTGTAGCAGAGTCAAGTTGCATGGTAAGGTTCATTCGTGTCCATCATGAAGCACAAAAATGACAAAAATATCCTTTGCGGCAAAGCGACTTGTTATGAAGCGAAGTTGTGAGGTGTTCACTTTGGGACCCTTCACCACTGACTCCCCCACCTGCGGTGCAAGCACACATCATTCTTGTCTTCCCAATTGCTGACTCTGAAAAATTGTGCTAACCCATTGATGTGCTTTGCTTCGAGAGTGCTGATCCTAAGCTCTGATACTCGGCAAACAAATCTGTGTGATGCCAGATTCCTGCAGAAACCGGAATGTTTGAAGCTGGCATTATACCATGAGTCATCATGAGTCATGGACCTGATGAAAGAAAACTGGACGCCTTCCAGGAGATCCCTTCTAGGCTGACAATGCCCCAAGTTACTTCGAATCTGACCAGCCTGCCATTTGTCAAAAGCCTCTTGGCCGCAATACACGGCTTTTTCCAAATAGGCCAATTGGAGGCCGATCGTCTGGTTGTAGGCAAGGCAGGGTGACAGCAGGACGCATAGGAAACGCACGAACATGGCAAGTCCAAGCAGTTTAGTTTCTTGGGTCACCTGATTATGATTCGTCAACACTAGCAGTCACTAGCACTTGTCCTGCAAACTGCGAAGGAAATAGCAGCAGTTGGTGGTTTGACTCCAAAGACTGTGAGTACCGATGTCGTTGTGCCACCATGTGCCACCAACTTTTGAACGGAGTATATAGCTTGCTCTTGACCTGTGAGTCAAATCGCAGCGGTCCACCTACCACACTGAGGCTGCACGTTGACAACAACAAAACACGTAGAACCTGATCATTGCTTGTTTCTAGGATGTTGCGTTGTTAACCCTAGATACCTCAGTCACTTCGCCCTGCTATCCATCCCATAGACTTTGCAAAAACTCTAGACCCCAGTCCTCTTCATCCACTTGTCTGGTTGCATGAAAGTGGATCCTCATTTTCTCACGTCCCGTCAATCTGAGGCCGGGGCGGCTAAAAGCTAAACCACTCCCATCTGGCCTTCTCTGCTGATCGGTACCTGGAACCGCTCATTGCACAAAGCCAGTGTTGGATGCTTGGTTCAAACGTGATATCGTGCTGCTCCAGACTCCCTAGCTACTGTATCTGTTGCCAAGGATGCGACAAGGGAGGCGATCATCGATGGTCACGGCCTTGAAGCACGTGCGGCGCCGTAGTTTGCAAGCGGCGTGGGAATAAACTGTGCGTCAACGGTTGCAAGACACAGCTTCCGGATCAATTGGAACAACGACTCGTATAAGGTATCTCATAGGTGAAAACGCTGCTGAAAGCTCATCTGTGGAATTTACGTTCACTACTACCATCAGGATTGCCTGCAAAGAAGTCCCAGGAAACAACCCAGTCAACCAAACTCAAGAGTCTTGGATCCCAAAACAAGGCAATGCCACCAATCGGTGCCCAGCGCAATGTGAAAGTCTGAGTTGAATACACAACTTGTAAAGTACTGCATTAGGCTTTGCACGTGTTTGGTCGATTGGCCGTCACCTCTAAAATGTAACGCTGGCTTCCTATGTGCAGGCCGAAAGCTGGTCTACTGACCTGGTGGCTGCAGACATAACCAGTTCAGTTCCAGGAGGCCCCGGCAAAAGCAACGTGTCTCTCTTTCACGGCCCGCGAAACGCACAAGGTCCGCACACTGAGGAGATGGTGTGACAGGATGCAGGCACACCACGACACTCGATGGAGATCGGACCACCGCTTTTGAAGCAATGAGATGTTCGAAACCCAAATTGGCCGCCCAAACAAAGAGAGCAAAGTGCAAGCTTACTAGTCCAAGGTCGGCAAAACAATGTGTGGGCAAGGAAGTCGGATAGAGGGTCGAATCAAAATGGCCGAGTAAAAGATGCAAAGCACACTCCAACACCCAGGGATCGATCACGAACAAGTTCCTCAACATGGTGATTCTCGAAAGCGAATAAATACAAAGAATGGTGCATGCTGATGCCAACGATGCTAGTCCAGCCCGCAAACACTCCCCAAATATGCAACACTTTAACAAATCAGGTTTGACGCAGGGCCGCGGTTAGCGTCATTGACAAAAACAAGCTATATACGACCTTCCAAATGAGCACGAATGGACTACGGGACACTACCTGTGGGTTTGACAAACGTGTGCTTTTCCCAAGAACTGTTTCCCTATGCTTCCACCCGAATGCTTGACTTCGCAGCATTAAAGGTGGGACTTCCAGCAGCTCAAAAGTACAGCTAACAGCTTTGGATGGCTTTGACTGCTTTTGCGGCCTTCCACTCGCCGTCCAGAAACAAATTGATCTGGTAGCAGCCAGCAGCATTCCTGACACAGTCTTACTTGGAGTCAAGAAAACTTCTCCACTCTCTGAACAGCTCAAACTTAAGGGTTTTTTGATCGTTGTACAAAGGGATGCAGGTCGGGCAGTTCCCAACGAATATCATTTGGAAGGAAATCCCACTGTCCGTTCCAAACAGGGAGTCCTTCCATCCATTTCTAGAGATAAAATGGTCAGACAGGACCCTGTCAGGTGCATAGAATGAAAACCCCTGTTTATATAAAATGACTCTACCTAACGTCATTTCCACATCTGTTTCAAGCTTCAACAGCGTCTTTTTCTGCGCTCCTCAGGTTTGCGTCAATCAAAAAAAAAATCCTTTTGCACCTGTCTGTTTGCACTAGCATCTGCCTCTCTATATATATATATACATATATGTATATATTATATTATATTATATTATATATATATATATATACAGTATATGTTTTTTGCATGAGTCCTGTTTGCTTCAAACATCTTCCTTGAAGCGAGCCATCATCCAGGTTTCAAGACAAGCAGCCAAAACTCAGCAGGAATCTATCAAGAGGCTCTGTACACACACAGTTTCCTCTATAACATGAACCCCGGACCTCCTCCAGGGGGGGGGGTCACAAAACGTTTTTTAAGAGTGGTTATCCCCTGCCATTCTCTAGAGGATATGGACAGGAGGATGAAGGAAATGTTGGTGGCGCAGCAAACTCACTTGGGACGTTTTTTCTGCATCAAAGAACAATGAAAAATCATCAATGCATCAGAACAATTGATTGTTCATGCTGTGTGCTTTCCAACGTTCACAAGTTTCCGGCCTTGCAGTTTCGCCTCCAAAGAGTCTCAAAATCAGATCTGGTCGTTGGGCGACCACGGCTAGCGCCTGGGCCAAACGGTTTCTGCCGCTCGTTCCGAACAACTGGTTCCTTGTCCAGTACAGTGAAAGCTCTGTAGCTAATGTTGAGCCTCAAAATACTGAATACAACGTGTTCCAAATCATATATATATATGGAAATACTGTATTTGATATCCCCATGAGCCATGTTCCTTTCTATTGTGTGTCTACAGCGTTTTCTGCTCATCTTGAAAAAAAAAACATTGGATATGGGCTCTTGACCTGTACATAGAGCATGTTGGAAACCGCAAATTTGCAGTTTTGAAGCTCGCACATTTGAAGATTCCTCCAACTTCAACCTTAAGCTTGGTGTCGAAGAAAACCTCTGGAATCTTCGATCTTCAAACACGTTCAATCTGCAAAATCAAAGACCTGGCAAGGCCTTGCAACATATGTCGTTAATGCCAAGAACGTTTGCCGTTTCGTTGAGTTTAGTTGTGTCGCCGAATGGCACATCCTCTCACTTCCATCTAGCCGTCTAGCCATGTCTTTTCTTGGCGGCCTCCATGAAATTCCCTTGTCTTGCAAAGTGTGAAGTTCTTTTTCAAGGACACAAAGCTTTTAAGAAGTGCTCTGCTGCGCAAAGTTCTTCTCCTCGGCGACTTGTTCCAAATTTTCTTGCTTGGCTACTTGTTCTAACTATTCCTGTTCAAATTTGGTTTTGCAAGTATGTTTACAACAATATACAAATAATGTGTCTGCTCTCTTGTGCAGAGCGAGGATTTGCCCAAGGAGTCTTTCTGGAAAATGTGTTTCCTTGAAGTTCGCAGATTGTTTTAGATATATTGTTTTCACTTTTCACACTAAGATTAACAATGCAAGTTAGATGGCACTGTCATCCAATGATGCATTCTCTCAGGTAAAAGGGTTTCACCATTCAGAACTTCACTTCCACATGCAACTTGATCGACGCAATGCGGAGTCAGGGCGGTTTGAGAAGGATTATCAAATCACACCGTTCTGTTGACAATGATGACTACGTGCCCAAAGTGAAGAATGCAGGATCAAGTCCCTTGGACAAGGGGACATATCCGTGTTCTGCAACATTTATGCTACACAGAACTGGTTTCAAACAATCAATAGGACTGAAATGGACTGAACATGTTCCTCAAGGGTTCCTGGCAGTTGTTGAGATGTTTTCCATGCAGGTGAGTTCTTTGTGGAAGAGACAATTATATAGCCCAGTGTTGCAACCCAACAGCAGGTAGCTTAGCAACTCACTTGACTAGCAACGTGCGGGCACTCCAGGATCCTGCTTGATCTTTTGTAGACAGGCAGAAGTTTTTATAAAAACAAAACAGGCTTGCATAAACAGCATCAACTCTTGTAAAGCAAGGCTCCTACAGGTGCACTGTATGAAAAAGGACATTTTAGATACGCAGGCATGAAACTAAAAAGGGAAAGCTTCATGATCAAGGAGGCAACAATAAACAACAAACAACAGCAGCCACAACAACATTGCAGCTTTGAAACATGAATAAATAAGAAACAAACTGCTCACCCCACGTTCATTAAGCGCACACATACTTCCAAATCTGTATTCAACACCATGAAGTTCATAACGCACTCAAAATTGTCTTATGTTTGCATGCATCTTGTAAACACAAGTGTCTTGTTTTTCAGAAAGGAAGACACTTGAGAATAGAAGAACTCCAAAAACTCTAGGAAGGAAGGCTTAATTAAAAACTTTCCTGAGAGGAGAACCATTTTTGAAGAATGGTGTCACTGTACAAAATTTTGGGTGTACAATATATGCATATATATATATATCATCTGTCATCCCGCCTTGTGATGAGCCGGGGGGTTAGTGTATATGACGCAACAATGTGTGTATATATATACAGTATACAGTACACACACACATATATCCCAAAGACTTCCAGAAAATCACCCTTGGCATTCCGCTGGCTGGCAACAGCCAGGTGCTTGGAAAGGGTCACAGCCTGCTCTTGCATGACAAAAGGGGCTGTATTGAGTAGCTGCCACGGAAGCAGGTGGCTTTCCGCTGACCGAATTGTCAATAATAATAAATACATCATGCCAACCGGTGCAATATATAACTGCAAATAGAAAATCTGTTTGGCTTCGACTGTCGACTGTTTGGTCGCCCGCCACAATATCTATGACAATGGCATTGGAAAACCAACCAAAGATGTCTTACATAGACTGCAGATTGACCCCATATAGCCGCTCTTACCAGTGTTGCTATATATTCACCTATAAAGGTCGTTTTGTGTTCTTCTGCAAGGGTCTGAGAGCTTGGCCGAAAGGAACCAGCAGTCTCCCACGCCTCCTTGCTTCAGGTCCTGTGTTCTTCAGGTGATGATCTTTGTGACCAAGTGGATCCAAGCAGAAAGGCAAAGGGTCTCGCGAAGCGGGACCCGTGCAAACCTACTAGGAACAAGGGCGCTACTACGTAGGGGCTCCTGGCATCGCTACTAGGAGCAAGGACGCTGCTAGGGGCTCCTGGCCTTACTACTAGGAGCAAAGGGCATGGCTACTAGTTACAAAGATTTGCATCCTTGCCATTGTCAATCTCAGGGACTGTAAGCAAGCAGTGTCTTGCAGTCTTGTGCCACTCTGTCGCCTAAAGTGTCTCCATGCATTGTTTGACTGACTGCCATAGTCTTTTGAGTTTTGCAAACAGAGGATAGGATGGGAGCAAAATGAATCTGAAAAAGGGAGCTATATGCGACTCTTGATTTTTGTAGACCCCTTCATTGTAATTGTCAAAGCAGGCAAAGTACTTATATACCTCTTTAAATGCTTAAACTTTGTCCTCCGCCCGGAAGCCGAAGTCGCTGACCACCAGGAAATCTGGAAAGCGCTGCCACCAAATCTTTTCGCTGCCTTGGTGAGGATCGCTGCTCCAAACACTGATTGATAATACAACACCTTGAGTGATTTTGTTCAATCTGGTCTTTGCATGGGGCCGCACCATAAGGAGACTAGACATGACAAGTAAAGGCTTGATAAGTAATTTGGAGCTGAAAGATTGCAAATAGTTGATCGCACTTGGATGAGCTGCATGGCAACTGTCCGAAACGACAAGTGAATGGCTCAAAAACAGGTGGTGTTGCTGCTCAAAGCCCAAAAGCATATTGACAAGACGGCAAGGTGGATACAGTACTTTGAGCAAGCAATCCCATTCAAGGAAGGGCAGTTTTAACATGGAACTGCCAGCAAGAGCTTGAGACTTTCACTTGTAGTTGCATAAATATATGGCCAGATGGCCAGTGATGGTCTCAAAAGGACACTTGGCCACTTGGGGCCCAACGCCTTGAGTCTGAATCTGCCCAAGAGAAGAAGCCACAGCGGCGTGTCTGACAAAGCCGCGAGAGGTCGTCTGGTCGACGTGGCATCCAAAGAGTTGTGCATCTCAGAATGGTGGGTCGCCTGAACCCTAAATTATATTCGTGGATAGTTCTTTTCTTGATAGCGCCTGACCAAAGTTTGACTGAATCTGGAACGCTTCTTGATTCACTCATATTCACTCTGTATAGAACCGGGAAATACATATGCCTGATTTGACAAAGACCCATTATCTCTAAGATAATTAAGATAATATGCATATAGTTTCTTTAGAGCTGGCAAAAGTGAATACGTTGTGAGACGACAGGATGTGAAACGACAAGTGCTAATTCAACCGCACTTGTTCTCTGCAGCGTGGCGGGAGCGCCTCGCAGTGCCAGTATGGCCTTCCCTGGCAAGTCAAATTTGATCTGAGACCGCGTAAGAGCTGGACCCGACACACATTTCTTTCAGACCATCCGAAGTATGATAAAATATGATCGAGGTGTTGATCAAATAAAACTGGAGCAAGAGATAATAGAAACACCCAAAGCCAGCGCTTGAGTCAAAACTGGAAGTGAGATGCTGTCCCAACTCTCAGTTCACATTGTCCCAGTTGGGCCCTGGTTTGCTTAGCACTCCGCCTTGGTTGGGCCTTCCTTTCTCACCTGACCAGAAAGGCTGAGCAGCACTGCACGGGCAAAAGGTTCTAAGGTGCTCGAAAACTCCAGTCTGCAGATCCAATTGAGTACATCCAGCATTGGTGACCTCCGACTTCTTGCAGTTCTTTCCACAGCGGCAACGAGGAGGTTCTGAGGAGGAGCGTGGCGCATCCTGGCATAGTGCCATCGTGGCAGTTTGTCGTCACTGAACAACCCTGGAGTTGCTCGTGAAGACTCGACTGCTTCCAACATGGCAAGAAGCTGCTAAGCCAAACAAGTTATATAGAAAATGTGGATTCTCGTTAAAGATACTGTAGCTATATAGACTGTAACATCATGTAGCTATCACTGGCACCCTAAAGCCTCAAGCTTCTGGAGCCTTCATTCTTGGTCACAAGTGATTTCATCTCAGGTTCTGTCTTGTTGCAGTTCAACCATGTTCCAAGAGGAAGGGTGGAGATCTTGAGGAACTGAACAAACCGAAGGAACGGAAGGAATCGAAAAAGCAATGCTGAGACGCACTCGGCGCACCTCGTCCCTGCCTCCTATAGATTTCCTCAGCACAGCCAGCATAGCAGCATGGCGGAACTGTCCCTGGACCCCTGGCATTTGGAGAACAATGTCCACTGGGTGATTACTCAGTCGTCCATTTTGGCAGGTCATGCAAATGATGATTGATGTCAAAATTAAATTCAAGTAGGACAGAAGAAGTTATACTGTAAGAGAAACAGAATTGGACCTCTCATGAAAAATCGCCTATGGGCCTATGGGCATGATTGTTGTCGAAAATCCTTCAGATGTGTTTGGTTGGCAGTCTTGCTACCTAAGTTTACTCTGTGTTTTTTTCAAAGAACCCCCAATCACCTGCTACGACCAAATATTTGATCAGAAACACTTGCCGAATCAATCGAATTCAATCTCTTTAAATTTTGATGGATACGCCAAGAAAGTAAACATAAAGCACCTCGAGCAACAAACACAGGAGACATCCCACCTGTTTGGGTGATCAGTGATGAGTGCTAATTGAATTCTTGAAGGTTTGTAGGGACAAACTTGCTAGTGCTTGAGAGTCAAGACCGGCTCTGTCCGGCTCAGTGCACTTTATGGAGCAAGAATGTACATAGGAGAAGGTTATTGAAGCTGCTTTCAGAAACACCAAGCCAAGCCCTCAACATGCATCCTCATGGAATTGATGCTGGGGCTCCAAGCGCCTCTGCTGGGAAGTCGTAGTCCTCAAAGCACGCCTCGCAACGGGACCCTCTGATGCGAAAGCACTCAGTGTGTTATCAACAGCATCGAGAACCAGGGGCCATACTAGGGAAACAAATAGGATCTATTTTACGACTTACTTCTATGTACTTCCTACTTACGACCAAGCAAATACCAGCAAAACAGCCGTATTGTGTCAATGGGTTGCCGCCGGTGGGGTTTTCGGGAGCTCTGCTCGAAAACTGGCACTCACAACTTGTGTAGAGAGCCCAAAACATCGCAATCGCTCAAGGACCTGGAAGGGATTTGTGAAACACAATGATTCGTTTGTAGAACAACGATTTGGTAAGATATATGAGAGACTGTTTGGATTAATCTTATTCCCCAGGTCCAACTTCTACATTGACATCAATCTCATGCCACGCCCAGGATAAAGAGCACCGCGTAGTCCAGCTTCTTACAACCTGGCTGCGGTGGCATTGTCTCCCCTGGCGCCACTGGGAACTGCACCTCCAGCTCCGTGGTGGGTGTGCAGCTTCCGCTGCCCTCGGGGGTGTAGCGCGCAGAGCGACAAGGAAGGTGGGTCACGTCATAGAGCTTGGCGTTGTCTCCCAAAGACCACTTCTGAACCTGAAGATCCAGTTCGCAGGCTGCATGTGGACTTCATCGTTGGATGTTTGAGGCGCAGTTGGATGTTTCCAGTGCCCCCCCTTATATCAAATATCACCATCTTTCTTGGGCCATTCTATGTAAGCAACTGGAAGGTATGTTACAAATGATCCTGGGAACTCTTAAAGTCTTAAAGCGTTTGTAGTTCGTAGGTGCCCTGCGAACAGAGTCAATCTTGGGAAGATGTCAAGGGTTCTTTTACAAGACAACACTTCTTCCCTCAGAATGGGACTTGCAGCCAGTGGCTAAGCGAGGAATGCATTTTGATATGTACAGACAATGGTGGGTAGAGAAACAACTCTCCAGACAAAGCAGAACAATCACAACCAACCTGGTTGATTGCTAGTTGGGGTCTCAAGTTTCATTCAATTCCACATATATAATCATCCTTGAATTTGCATCTCTTGCAAAGCCAGCAACACCATTCTGGTCCTTCTCAGAGATTGTCAAGGTCGTAGTGACTTTCCGATCACCAGTCACCAAGTACTTTCCAGGAGGCATTGGAAACTCTGGTTTCTCCATTATCAATCCGTGCTCCTCCAACCACCAGTCATTGTCATCGAATTTCCTCGGCGATGAGCATTCTCCATGGCTTCAAACTTGGGAAATGCCAGTCACCGCACTTACCAAATGATGTTGTGGCCAAAACCACCCGTTCCCTTTTACAACTTTTGACCTCAGAAAGGTGCTTTAAGCCTCGCTGCGTTCTTGTTTTGTTGTCACGTTGCATTATCGTTTTCGTGCCGTGTAAAAACATCGATTTCTATGATTCTATGCACAACAAGCAAATGCAACACAAAACTTCTCGTTGCCTTTGATGTGGGGCAAACAAACCTGGGCTGCAACACGTACGCTGGGTTGTCCATGTGCAGGGTGATCGTTTTATGTTCTTCCTTATCGCTGTTCGGATCCGTTCTGTGGATGGAGCACCCTTTTGGCAAAATGGACACGTGAAGACTAAATTTGTGAGTGTTTTCTTTTTTACTTTCTCTCTCTCTCTCTCTCTTCAACTGTCTCTCTCTGAAACCAAATCACAGGCCAAAAAGCCAAGCTGCCACTGGGCCGGGGCCACGCCGCCCCTGCTCTTGAGCTTGTCATAGTTGAAGAGACGGACGCCTCGGGGACCTGGATCCAGTCTCCACAAGCCCCACTTTTCGGCGCCTGTGCCAGAGTTCGCGGCGGGGTCTCCCAGCGCGGCTATGTATTGGATCTGCCTGGCGTGTCACGGTGTGACGGATTGTTGCGGTGTCACTACAAAAGTTCATCAGTGAGACTTCTCTGTTGGAGCATCAATACATGAAAGCTGTTGAATCTGTTGACCATATATTCGGTTGGTCATGACTGCTTTGTATAGAGCCGAGCGCCTCAGTCGTTTGAACTCTGTCTTGGGCTCCTCTGCCACTGCTGGACTGGCCACTCCAGCCATAGCCCCGGCAACCCCAGCGGACAACAGGCTTCGACGGCCGTGAGCTTCATCGGTTTCAGCTCGGGCACAGCCTTCCTAAGAAGGGTCAACATGGCTCTCATTTTGAAAGGAGTCAACACATCGAATCTGGAGTTGTCAATTGTGTCATTGACACACATTACAATGTCATCATATGTCATCTATACAGGCTATATCGGTGGTAAACTACAATAAGTGTTCTTACACAAAAGGACGTCTTCAGCCAGTGTGTGCGTGGGGAAGTGAGCTTCAATCCATTGGATTGTAGATCTCACATTTTCAGTTGAAGCTGCTGAGACCAGTTCCTGAGATATTTTAGCCACTAGATTTTGATGGATTGATGGACTGGTTCGTGAACAAAATTTGGCCCCTCAATCCAACCTATGGTTTCCATCTCATTGCCTCACTGCTTCCGTCCCGTTGCAGACTGGCCAAGCTTCTCGCTTCTCTCCGGCACAGGCAAAGCTCTCTGGGTCAGGGCCCCATGCTTGCCACAGGAGCAACAGCCCCGTGAAGAGGATGGGAGCGGGACGGCGGCACTTCATGGAGTCGAGACTTCGTCGAGACTGCGTGACTGCGAACTGACTCACAGAGTGTCAAAAAGCTTTTGGAGCACTCGTGTGGCCGACATTTGCCTCGAAAAAGATTATGCTTGGGATGTGGCTGTGAGAACGAAACAATTGCATTCGTTGAATCTGCCCGTCCGCCATGTGTGAAGGCGTGTCAAGGGCGCTTCCCCCACTGAAAACACTGTGGACAGTGGACACTGCATAATTATAGCTTCAGCCCAAAGCACTCCCCTGCCTGCAGCAAAAGAAGCGCTTCGTGCCATTCCTCGGATCTCGCAAGTCACTTTGGCGTGTTGTTTTGTGACATATTGATTGACCAAGAGCCGAACCGCTCTGGCAGCGCGGAGTACTTCGCTGCTCATCGCCTGCAGGGGCTCACGTGTTGCACCAATCCCTCATTGGACAAGTCTCAAAAGCTGAGTGCCCATCAAGGTCTACGATGTCTGATCCGCAAGCTTTTGTCGATCTAACTGCGCGATCAAAACAGAAAGGATAATAAAGTCTGAGTCTCCAACATCATCTCCACTCAAAGTGCTCCAGTCAGGAGAAGGTGTCACCGGTGCTACTGCACCAGCTGATCTGTAAGTCCGGGTCGATTCGTCCTCACCGGGGCAAGAAGGTGTCGCTTAGTTTTCTTTTGTCTGGACCTCATACTTTGTATAAATAATAATCAAAATCACATCAAAACACAGAATCAAACTGCAACAGAAGCTCTTTCCTCCAAGACCATGAACACACCAAGCTCTACCCGAAGCTGATCTGTGGGAACTGTCAATGAGCAGCATGTCAGTGTTGCTGTCCGCTTCGCTGATGGTCATTGCTGTGTCTTGTTACATCTAGTAACAAGCCCTTGGTAGTAGATTTCTGACCTGACTCATGATCAACAAACTCCAACACTTATAAAACTGCTAAGCTACCAATTGTTGTCAATAGACATCCTATAGTGCAGGTCTGTCATGGTCTGTCTGAACATCCCATCCAAAATCACACCAGGCAGTTCTGGACATGTCCCGTCCTGCGGCGCGAAGATCTTTCCCCATCTTCGTGTCCTCCCCGTCGGATCCTCTTCGGGATCCAAGTCGATCGGTGGGCCATGGTGGGCCTTCAAGAGCATCGCAGCTCCGCCGAGCTCGGCCGAGCTGCCGTCCAATGGCCAACCTACTAGCGATGGCCTCCAACCCGTCTGATTTCTGGCTCACATGCGATTCACACACTTTCTGGTTCTCGCGATTCAAACATCTAGAATTTTGAGTATGTGATGACTTTTGGTCTGGGCTCAATGTTGGATAAGCTGAATTAAGATGATCCAGCCTGGAGTTTCACCCGCCTTCGATGTTTTGAATATATATATATATATACATATTTCAGCTCACATGGTCTTGATGAAGCGATTTCATGTTTTGCTTTGTTGACTTAAAAAGTATCCAATGTTCTCATTACTTTGCACCACGAATTCTGTAAGCCACAAGCAGAAAATGTGAGTGATGTGCCGAGGACACGCGGACTTCGGTCACAAATCCTGAGGAGGACAGGAGAGGCTTTTGTAGTGACCTAGGGATCCTGATACAATCAGCATGGTCACACAAGGTGGAGTGATCACACGTTGCCTGGCACGTTCTTTGCACACTTATGCAAACTTGACTCTCAGGTCTCCCTGGAGTCTCCCTTCTGCTTTGCAGGTAAGGGCCCACAAATCTGCTTTGTGTCACAGCTGTAAAGTGTCTTCGAGGCTCTTGGAGGTGGGATACATTCTGTGAGGAACATTCAGGACCACTTGATGTCTTTCGCAAACAAACTCACGCTTCAAAAGAACAGTTCTATTTTGTCACTCCCATACTCACCATCAACTACCAGGATTTGCAGGATTGGTCCTACTACATAATAAGCAGTAAGACCAGCGCTGGTTTTGCTGCAGCAAGCAGTATTAAGTCTCGAGTCCTAAAGTTTTAGTAAGTTTAATCTACATCTCATGCTTTGAGCAACAATACACGTTTTATAAGAGGGGTCAGGGAACAGAAACAACGATGTTTTGGGCGAAAACAACATGTTTAAAGTAGAGGTTGTTGTTGACTGATGCGTTTCTCTCCATGCCACCCACTCATGCAGCAAAAACTCTAGGTTGCTTGAGCCTCCCCAAAGGTCTCTATATGCCCAATGAACTATCTAGTATATAATAGTATATAACCTAGTATTATTGGTCGAAGAGTATGGGTTAATGTGTCGGGTAAAGTACGGGTATGCTGTGGGGTTGGCACAACAAAATCAGCATAAAACATCTCACATCAAATCAGCGCAAAACACCACAAATCAAGGGGTCAACCCAATGTAATAGTTTCATAACTGTTTCTGAATACCCAGCGTTTCTAGTTGCAAGAGGTCTTGATGATCCGGGTATATACTTATAACATCTTATAACATATTATAACAACAACCAAAGCCTCTGGTTTTGCTGACAAGTTCCTAGTTGACTGGTTGAAGACCAAGCTTCAAGCCGCGAAGAGCGGCCCATGTGAAGCATCCAAGATCCGTCCCCGCATCTGCCGCGCATGGGCACAGCGGGGATAGTCACGCCGGGACTTCAGGCAGCTCATTTCACGACGAAGATAGTTGGGAAAAGCAGGGAGCTCTTGATCGTCCATCGCCTGAGTTCTACATGCAAGGGGACCACACTGATCTCTCACGCGGAGATAATTGATACTGTAATCGTCTGAGACAGCAAATTGCTTTCATTATGCCATTGCATAGACTCAGGTCGTCACAATGCAGTTTACTCAACCCATTTCCACAGTGGTTCGGTAGAAATATTGTCAACAAGTTGACGGACCACCATGGAAGCACCTATAATTCAGCGTTGGTCCGGCCCAATATTCAACTATCACGAACAATTTTCTGCCATTTGCCATCGACCCTACTCCATGCCTCTATTCCAGGCAGGTTGCGCGATATGATGCTCGCGGCTACATTGAAACCGAGTTGCACTTCGGAAGAGCCGCGCATTCATGGCTCGGTCGGCAGGTTGCGGAGGCGGTATTGGCACCAAAGCTTTGGACAGCTCGAGTGATGTCTGGGGAGGATCTTCAGGGATGTGGCGGGCCTCTACCCACTCCTTCAACTTCTCAAGATTCAGCCTTTCAGCTTCCAGCATCTCGCCTGAATGCACCAGTCAGTGTTAAAAGACAGCAAACAAACATTGTAGAGATAATGGATATCATATAATCATATATACAGTATATATATAATTCTTCATATATATACATATATATAGAGATTGTATGGTAATTTGGTGTTGCTGACATTTGGTTAACAATTCATCACTATAACTTTGAAACAAAGTGAATGCAGTATTGTGGATGTCTGTTCTGCAGCTCCAGTCACTTCGCTCACGCAAAGCTTGCACCTCTGCCTTTGATTGCTGTAGAGCCTCATGTTTCGCCTCACATTGGACCTCCAGTTCCCGGTGAGCTTTTTGAAGCAAGGCCTTCTCCTTGGGAACAATGCGGAGTCCATGCTCTCCACATGTCCATGGTGTTCAAAACATTCTTTTCTCGCTATGAGGGGATAGCTGGCCACTTGAACTTGAGGAATGTCCAAAGCAAGCGCTGGTCAAGCAGTTCGGCCAAATCTGAAGAGCATAGAGCACCCAACAAAAGTCTGTGTTTTTTTTTAAATAAGTCCACCCTTACTATTAACTAATAAGGCTCCTACTTAATTAAGTAAGGGAGTGGACGCTCCTAAGTAGGCGCCTATGACTAAGTAAGGGAGTAAACAAGCTGCTAGCTACTAAGACGCTACCCCCCAGCCTGAGGGTGGGAGGAGCTTCCTTGAAGAAGCGCTCGCACTAATGATTTGGCTCCTAGATTTTAGGGAAACTTATACAACCCTTGATTGGTGAAGTATTTGATGGTGTAGAATACTGAAATGCAATGTATTGCCATGTGGTTTGCAAAGTGCAGCGCAGTTGACCATGAAATCTGTACACTGTGCGGAACACTGACACACACACACACACCTTTACATTGAAGGTATCTGTGCTCAACGCTGACAGACTGCATGATAGAACTGGCAAACAATAGCCAAGGCTCCTTTTGGAGAGCGTTCACCATAACTCTCTTTTCCACCAGTTCTTCTTGGATCTTTGCATCGTGATTGCTCAGCACTGTCCATTCGGCCTTCAAAGCACGCAGTTGCTGCTCCTTGCTATGTGCTCGCGCATTGGCATCATCCCTCTCTTCCTCTGCCCGATTCTTGGCAATGCCACCTTGGTATTGAAGAGTTGAACTCGCTTTGCCTGTCTTCAGTTTCTCTACGTCTGGAGTTGGGAAGCAAAACCCACTAAAGCACTCCTGTCCCAGTATGTTCTTTATCACATAATCCCCCAACTTCCCAACCCAAAGTCACACTGACACAAGGAAAATGATGTCGAAACTGGGTCATTCCGGTCCTGGATCTGAATCTTCGACCCCGTGCATCTCCACCCTCATCACTGAACGGAAGCAAGCACAAGTCCAACAAGCTAGTCTTAGCTTTCATGTTAGTTTCATCTCTATTCTGATGACATGTTAAGCTGAATGATCCATGATCCACCCACTGTGGCCAGCCACTGGTGAAAGCATCTGCCCTCGAGAGTTGTTCCCGCTCGTGCGCTCGGAAGAGCGAGGCCTGTGCTCCGCGCTCAGATTGCCCAAGCTGAGCGCACAACCTGCCAAATGGGATCCAAATAGCATCATCCGTGGCATGGGTGGCATCTGAAGGGTGAATCAAGTACCTATCCATACCTATCCCGTCTGGTCACCCCACCTGGTCACACCCGGTGAGTCTGCACGGCCCCAACAGGATGGGACATGAACCAGTGGTGCCTGGGACTACCTTCATCAATGTCAACCGTCTGTTTGGTTAGGTAGATCTTATCTAACAGGTTCATGATCCCAGGACAAAGGGCAAGTGGGATAGTGTGTGGGAAGGGCACCTACCGCAGGAAATCAGCTGATTTAGCCCGTCATCATGAATACATACTTATTTGTTGGACCGGGATTCCGTGTCAGTGAAGCTGCCAGTGAGAATTTCACACAACCAATGAAACAAGCAAACAATGTCCAAGAGTTGAATGGAAGCGTGCTCTGACCAACCAACTGTTCTTAACACCCACTGAACTCGCGCCAAGCTAACGCTGTTTCTACACTCCTTGAAATAATCAACGGAAAATGGCACCATGAGCATTTTCCTCTAGAAACAGGTGGTTTTCCACGTCCATGATTGTTTCAGGGAGTGTAATTTTGCCGAGATACTTCTCCAGGTCCAAACAGCGATCTTCAAACTTCATGGTCTCTCCCTTCCTGTTGCTCAAAGGCCGGAACATGCCACAATGTTTTCAGATCCTGCATATGCAGTCTCCACCTAGTGTTTCTTGATGATACTTTGGAATTGGAATCAGCATCGCGAAGCCACTGCACAATTCTTGAGTTATCCAGAATTACAACATATTCATACCTGAGAAAGGAGAGGACGAAAGCCAGCGAGAGACCAATATGGTAATGCAAGACTGGGAGGAAAAAATAGCGGAGCACTTATTGTTGAATGCCTGTAGCTTTCGTGGAGCTTGTGTCAACGTGGAGTAGATCAAGATCGGAGCACAGCATGAAGTCTTGAATGTTTTAGGTGTTCTCGATTTTTCTGGCGCGGTGCTCTCTGGAGCGTCCCTTTTTGGTGGTCTATTTGAGAATCCGGGAAAAAAGAAGCGTCAGTGAAGACCAGGAGAAGGATGCCCGAAAGGTGGTTTCTTGTTGTTTTGAAATGTGTTTCAGGCATCGTGCAGCAATGCGAAGCCCTATAAAGAGCAGGGCTGGGAGAAAGAAAAGGGGAGAGCACTCATTCTTGAATGGCTGTAGTTTTCGTGGAGCTGGTAGCACTGCGACGTAGATGAAGATCAGAGCACAGCATGAAGTGTTGAATGTCTTAAATATTCTTGATTTGCTTGGTGCGGCGCCTTCTCGAGCGTCCCTTGTTGGTGTTCTATTTGAGAATCCGTGCAAAAATAAGCGTCAGTGAACACCAGGAGAATGATGCCCGAAATGGGTTTTGTGGTTGTGTTGAAATGTGTTCGGATATCGTGCATCAATGCGAAGCCCTATAGAGAGCAGGGCTGGGAGGAAAAAATAGCAGAGCACCTATAGTTGAAAGCTGGTAGTTTCGTGGAGCTGGCATCACTGCGACTGAGATCAAGATCGGAGCACAGCATGAAGCGTTGAACGCTTGCAGCTTTCTTGCTTCTCCTCTTGCGGCGCTCTTATCCCCAAGCCTCTACCTCGCCCAACTGCACATACTCACATCGTTCTCTCCAGAGCGTTCACTCATTGTTGTTTGGTCCTTCTAGGTATGATCAGAGCTACACAGTCCCTATGCCCTGCTCAGGACTAGAAAAATTGTCTCCACTTGCGCACTATGATTGCCACTGCAAGCCCGGCCGCTCTGCAACACGATGACGCACTTGTGCTGCTCATCGCATGGATCCTTGGGGCAACTCTCCGTCTAGAAGCTGGCGCACAGGGGTTGGCCGTTCCTCATGTACTTGGTGAGCAGCTTGTTGTTGATAGACGCAGGCATGACGGAGACTCCGGCGACCCCTTCATGATGCTAATGATGCACTACTCGGCGTCCATTGTATCACTCGCATCACCAGACCCCATTTTAACTGCTTTTCTGACTCTCGCTTTGGAGCACTCTCCCCCACCAAGCTCCGGGTTCACCCTCTCAAAATACGTGCCTTTTCGCACCCTCCCCCCCCCCACACCCCCTTAACTCACTTCGTTCGCTCTAAGAGCTCAAGCCTAGCCTATCGGCTGGCTTTCGTAATTACCCATCCAGTCTCAGGTCCACTTTTCTGTGTGATCAGGAAAGAACCCCAGCATCTCAAGAATCAAGGTCATCAGCAAGTCTTATACGGATGCCACATGTTTTCTATTATTGTTTTCTCTAGGCTCAGTTGCTCCTTGGCATCCACACTCATCCAACATTGGCATATCATACCATCCTACTGGACTGCTAGTGCCAGATTCTGCCGGGTGTCTGGGCCACCAAGTCCTTCACGAGCTTTGCGATTTGATCGTTCAGCTTCTTGGCCTCTCCCTCCATGGTCTCCTGAAACACTTTGGAAGACCAAACAATGGGCGTTGGTGTATAGGAGAATTGACGCTTCAACGATTTTTGCAAACGCTGCAGAATTAAATTTGTTGATGTTGGCAGCCTCCAGCCTTCCATTCAACATTCCAGCTCCAGGCTGACTCATGCTGACTCTACAAGTTTCCCTAAAAATCTAGAAAACAAATCATAAGTGCGAGCGCTTCTTCAAGGAAGCTTCCCTCGCCGCCTTTAGAGCGGCGAGGGGAGCTTCCTTGAAGAAGCGTCAGCTATCCTGCGCCCAGATACTAGCAGCTTACTTGTAGGTACTAGCTACCAGCTACCTACCTCTAGCTACTACTATCTCACCTCTACTAGCGGCGGCCTACCCCCAAAAAAACGAATAGTAAAAAAAGAGTTAAAAGCCGGGTTTACATAAAATATCTCAGGAGCCCTGGACGATTTGATCGCGTTGTCCGTACTTCCATCATTGCAGCCCAGCGTCGATCTGCTGTTCGGCTTGCGCACGCATCTGCTTCTCCTGGGCAGTCAGGATTGGCTAGAGGAAGACTGTGATCAAGCACTCCCCCAACTGTGTTGAAAGCCCCATATACAATCACACAATCAGGCAGCTGTCATTCTGAAAATTTTGAATGGATATCGGAAGCTCACGTCGAGTCATCTAAACTCTAAACCCGCAGTTCGCTTGTCATGTTCTGTCCCACACCTTTGCAAACAAGCCGAGCCTGCCTTGCGGATCTGCGCCTTCAATCGCTCCACTGGAACTAGCTGCTCTTGCAGCTCTGCTTGAAGCATTTGAGCATCTCGCAGTTTGCCTCCCAAGAACAACTTCATTGGTGGCCCGAAAATGGCCACGCATCATATGATGTGCAATACCAGCAATGCTGTTCTTATCAAAAAAATTGTCCTTCTCACATGCAACGCATCCGCATCCGCGACGCATCCACCCGAGCGCAATAGCTAGCTTCGCTTTGCCTCGCGCTTCGCCAGCTTCACCTGCCTCGAAGGGAGTGCACCTCCTCTGTTAAGGCCACCACCTTGGGCGACTCCTTCTCGCTGGTCGTGGCCGCCATGGCCACCATGGTGGGGACAAAGACTTTGGAAAGAGGAGATTTGGGTGGATTGGTTTGTTTTCATCTTTCTCCTGTTACTGTCAACAGTAGTGGTCTTAGTCTCCCGTTCCCATTGTGAGCCTAGTCGAATGAGATGCAGATTGCCCCACAACAAAACAAACACAAATTCAATTTCAACCTTGGAGAATATTGATATATATATATATATATTATATTCAGTGTATATATATTATATATATTGTATATTCTATATATGTGTGTATATGTCATCGTGGAATTCTAAGTATTCTAAGAGACTCGTGCCTACACCCGTTCTGTGATTCAGCCATACAGCTGCTCTTTCTTCACAGTCTTCAGGCTGTACTTCTTTGGTTCTGCACAATGGTCCCATCAACGGATTCTTGAATCACAAGGCCCCATACGTCGATGCAATGGGATCGCCTTTCGCATCGTGTGGCCCTGCCACCACTTGACGCAGCGATGCTCTCCCTTTTCGGGAAACACAGCACCAGCAACAAGGTACTAAAAACGGGGTGATCTCAGAAACGAGCGTAGCCTCAGCTCATCATAAGTTCAACCATTACATTTCATTACAGTGCAAGAACTAGAATAGGCTTTCTCAGCTGCTTCCAACCCTTCTCCAGCAACTCCCCCGTGAAGAGGGCGGCTTCCTGCGGTGAGTTGTAGGACTCAGCAAAGCACCAGACCACGGTGCAAAAGAGGGCTCCTAGTAGCGTCCTTGCTCCCGGTAATCTAGGAGAAGCATCAGCATTCCAAATGATGCACCCAACCATCCCCGAATAACGAAATTATTCTGATATTCTGATCAGATTGGGTCTGACACGGCACTGACTTCTGGAATCTTCTGGAATCAGTTTTGGACCTCCTAACAACATGCCATCAAATGGTCAATCGGCCACTAGCAGGACGCACCAGGCAATGCCGAGACGGAAACTGAGATATAGTGACTACTTTGGCTGCACGTACCTGTGGCCATTCCTTTTCAGTATCTGTGGATCAACGCCAACTGTGCCACATGTTGGTCGAAGGTGAAACCAATTCTGGGCAGATCATATTTATGGAGCATGAAAGGACTGCGAAGTCCTGGTGCGAATTCATCTCAAGACCTACACCACGTCATGGGCAAACGATGTGAGGGTCGTCATCAACCATGTCATGCGCCCTGGAATCAGCTTGCTTTTCCTCAAGTGAGCTATCAGTTTAGAGATAGAGGCGCTTTGCGCCCTCCCAGCGTGTAAGACCGGCCAAATGCAACCAAACCATGACGGCCGGCAGAAAAACATCATGATACATCTCTCCCCCATGCTCCCAAAGAGGTGAGATCTTTCATTTTACGATGCGTTCTGTTCAAAGGCCCGTTTGGGGCATGGAGAAACAGCACGGAGAGCAAACGCCTACTAGATGTTTCAGTCGAGTTCTGCAAAGACTTCTGAGCCCAAAGAAACAAACAGTTTGTATCGCGTGTCACGAAAGTCTAGATCTTTGTTGTCACTAGTAACTAGGGCTCAAATCTCAGAGTCTGAAAGGCTAGGACTTACATGAGATCATGAGCTACTTGCTCCAACATCCGGCAAACGTGGCGGCAAGCAGAGTGCCTTTTCAAAAATGCATATGGACGCGTGAGATGAGAGATCTCAGTTTTGTTTGGGCCCAATCAACCTTACATTGACACGCAAGCATTGCCGTCACAGCATCACCATTTTTCACCAGGTGTTTCTACACACCATAGGAGCACCTTGGTTTGGAAACGAGGCTTGATTGTGTGGGGTGACCACGATTTGGCAAGCAGCGGACCTCAGGAAATCAATTTCAACATCTTGTGACTTGAGGTGACTTGTGGACCTTGCCCATCTTTCTTTCGAGCTGACACCTTGACTCTTCCCATGTGGCATGATTTAGCAAAATCTTCACTTGTCGGCTTCATGCTATCTCTAGTGAAAATAATGTTGCTTTGTTTGGGCCATTGACCTTGCTTGTCAGCTTGTGTAGTTTTGCTTAACGATGATCTACAGTAGCTGATGGACACGGACAGCGAGCTTGGGGATCGACGGAAACCACGTTCTAGTCAACATGACATTCAAAAAAACAAACTATCATAAGATATCATAAGGTGCGCATGTGATCTCCACCCCCTCCGGCATTGGGCATACTCTATCAGCAGTGCTATCTGGGAACTATACAAGCTTTGTGGGCAACGCAGCTGGCAACAGGCGACCGCTAGCCGCTAGCTAGCACCAACAAAGCACTAGTCTGATGCAATATTCTTGTTTGGGAGATAAATCTATGGCCAAGGTACACCCGAATGCTTGGACTCGGCACAGACGTGATCAACTCGAACATCTTTGCGTTCCCCTCTTGGCCTGTGCATATGTTCAACACATTTGGAACAATTGACAATATGTACTCGAGGCACTGTCACTGTAAACACCACGAGGGAAGTGTCGACCGACTTGATTCATTTTGCACTGAAGCTGTCCAATGCTGCCTGATCAAACGTTCCAGTGGCTGGTTCAGGGATGGCTGAAGCAACTACATAATATATATATATAACATGTATGAAACCCCATGAATTCTCCGCCTGTCAAGACTCTTGCATGTCTTTGACTGGGATCGTGGTTGGCCAAGCATGATGACGAAACGTATGACTTCGCCGGAAGTGTTGCTCATGTGGGCCATTGTGGCCAATTTAACATTGCTAATGTTCACTGATCCTAACCTGTACTCCAGCAAATACATTGCTGACAAATCTATACAAATCCCAATGAAATAGGTCCCGTTAGAAATAGGGTCCCTATCTGGGTCCCAGAGGCAACTTGGTTTAGGGCAGTGCTCCACACGCCGCAGCCCGAGCACACGCCTTCCACCGCAACGATCCGATCCATCGGCTTGAAGGTGCCAACAGGCAGTTGTGCGGCAGCACCCCCAATGACCTCCTCGCAGCGGTTGGAGGCCATCGCTAGTAGGGTGGAGGCCATTACTACTAGTACTAGTGACAAAGGCTTTTGGGTTGGAGGCCATTGCTAGTAGGGTGGAGGCCATTACTACTAGTAGCAAGAAGTTACTAGTGACAAAGGCTTTTGGGTTGGAGGCCATTGCTTCTAGGTTGGAGGCCATCGCTAGTAGGGTGCTAGTAGCAAGAAGCTACTAGTGACAAAGGCTTTTGGGGTGGAGGCCAGTACTACTAGGAGCAAGAAGCTACCAGTCACAAAGGCTTTTGGGGTGGAGGACATCGCTTCTAGGTTGGAGGCCAT